CATGTCATGATTGTACTTAGGGTGGTGAGCCACTGATCCAGAAAAGCTGTGGATGCTCCATCCCTGGAGGTGCCCAAGGCCAGGCTGGATGGGACCAGCCTGCTCTGGTGGGGTGCACATAGCCCACAGCAGGATGGGCTCTAAGATCCCTTCCAACCCAAGCCATTCCACGATTCTCTCGTTGGCACGAGCGCCATGGATCATCCCCACAGCTCCCGTTGAACCCAGCGGTGTTTTAATGTCAGCAATGCAGTCAGGATGGAGGTGGGATGCAGCGAGCAGACGACGTGTTATTGCATCCCTGCAGCTCCCATCCCAGCAACCCTGGAGCCCTCTTGAAAGGCACTGTGGGGCACAGGAGCGGGACAGACGGTCGCATGCCGAGCACAGCCAACCCCATTGCCCTGGGACAGCCTCGGATAACGGGTTTAGGTTTCCAAGGTGGTGGGGTAACATCAGCGAGAAGCAAATATTTGGCCAAATGCACCCTGAGGTAAGCTGGTATCCGGTGTAACCACACAGCATGCCCATATGTTATTACTTATCCATCAGCCTCTTTGAGTAACGACGTACAGAGCCGGGGCGAGAGTTGGCTTTTGTCAAGCATATATTTCAGCAGCGTTTAAATAAACTCATCGAGCTGCACGTCTCGTGAACTTTCCTATTCCATCTGTCTGCGCCGAGCCACCCGTGGAAAGAAATGGATGAGGCCTTCAAACCTTCTCCAGTGCCCGGAAAATGAGGCAGTCCAGTTAACAATAAATGGTGGCCAATTGGGGCACACATGAGCGGTCTGGTGAGGAAGAAAAGAAAGTTGAGCTTAATGAAGTCCCTGCGCCCGCGTCCCCGTGCGTGGACAGGAAAGGACGGGTGGTTTATAACTGTTTATTGGAGTTAATGGTAATAAATTCCTCACTTGTGATGCATTAACTTTAATGTTTTCATTACGTGATGATTTAGGTTTTCCCTTTTCACGTTGTAAATCATGTTGTCCCGGTAGCACAGCAGGTCGAATGTCTGACATAATGTTATGTTTGGGGGAGAGAAATAACAGGGGAACGAGTTACATAGGTTATATATTTATATCTCTAATATGCTGCATTTTTCTGTGCGTGTGGTTGGGGGGAGTTTGGGGTTGGGTTTTTTTGTTTGTTTGTTTGTTTTTTGAAGGACTTTAAGAAATTGCATCCTGGTGAAGCCCATGGATGGGTGGATGGACAGACCCAACCGAGAGCAAATCTGCAAGTTGCTGCTGCAGAGCCCTACGAAGGGATGGTTTCCATGGCAACTCCCCAAATGCTCTTGGTGCTGAGGGGTTTTTTTTTTCCCTCCCTCTTTGCTGAGTGCAAGCCCTTGGCTAATGAGCTGTGCAAATAGATATTGAGATTTAGTGTTTTTTATTTTGCAATTATAGACTTAGCGATTTGGAAGGAAACTTTTGGGCCAAAGGCTCTCTGCCCCCTCTTTGAATTCCCTTTTTTCTTTTTTTTTCTTTTTTTTTTCTTTTTTTCCCCTCTATTCCCTTGGCAAAGTTGGTTCGACTTCAAACTCGATGTCGAATTTTCCAGACCAAATAAAAAACAACTGCTGAAGTTGGAAGGTTTTTTCCACCCTCCTGGGCCCAACCTGCAGTCAGCTCTCTGCCATCGCCCGTCTCTTCTCTTGTTTGCTTATCAATCATACAAACCACATTCATGGACTCCCCTGGAAAAACAGCAGTGTACCCAACATTCACTTGGCACCTCACAACGGTCCATCTGTACGCCTCTATTTATTTCTGTTTGGTCATTAGATGTGATCCAATAAGAGCTTTTAGGGACAGCGTCGTTAATTGGGCACCACTCAACCTCAGGTGAGAAGTGCTGTTTTCTTGAGTCCCTTCCATGGATTTTGTGTTCACTCCTGGCTGTCAGCACTTGTCAAAGCCCCCACAGCTGCTGGGGACTGCTTAATGTTGGTTCTTGCCTTCAATACTGCTCTGTGTTGCTGCTACAAGAGGACATTGAGCAGCGCCCAGTGGGGGTCTGTCCAAAGGAAGCACTGGGATTTCAGCTTTCCGAGGAGCTCTCTGGGCAACACTGGGATTCCTTGGGGCAATGTTGGGCTGCTGAGCCCGGGAGCCCCTCCTGACATCATCATTTCATCAATTCATCATTTCCTCTCGATTATTTCCATTGATTTCTGACTGCCTCCTGCTTGCTGATTACCTTTCAGTCTTGGCAGTTATCCTGGGGTGGATGCCTACACTCTGAGCTTTGCCTACAAGCCTCTTCTGAGAAGTCAAGCCGAAGCCCAACTAGATCTTCTCCACCACCCCTTACCTTTTTCTTCATCTGCTTTCTTATTTTCCTGCTCAACACAAGAAAATCCGTCTGGCACCAGCTCTACTTCTGGCAATCATTTAATCCCCCATTTTCTTTGAACCAGTTGCTCGTTTCATACCCATCCTTACAAATGATGCTCGCTTCTGTAGGGTTGAAATTCCCACTGGACCAAACCCCTGCACACCACCACTCAGCCCTGGCCATCATGGGCCCATTGGCCATGGCTTCAGTCGCCGGTGGGACTTGCAAAACCCTTCAGCTCTCTTTGAAGGCGACAGGAGGGGTTGTTTGTCTGTTTCTGATTCTTTTTATCCTCATTAGCTCCAATGGAAAAAAAAGACTGCAGCCACCACTGGGAGCTTTGGGAAATCACAGCCGATTGTGCTCTGGGTTTGCAATGTATTTGGGTGTTCCCATTGAAGTCCCCTGGAGGAGAATCTGCTCTTGGCACGTCTGAGCTTGGTGAATAAGCCAGAGGATTGGGAATTAGCTGCAAGCCTCCGTGCTCCATCCCTTTGAACACTCAGTTAATGTGACAGTGTGGGCACGAGCGCAGCCCCCAGGCTGGTTTGGCTGCAGCTGCTGTGACATTTGGTGCAGCTGGTGTGCATGACTCAGAGAGCAGAGGGCTGAGTGCTGGAACACAGAGGGCTTTGAGGACATGGTGAGGACGGGCTGGAACGGTCACGATGCTCAGCGGGCATCCCAGTGTTCCTCTGCTCCTTCTGCTGGGCTGGGTGGGCTGGGGAAGGAATAGAGATGGAAGGGACCTTCGTGCCCACGGAAATGCAGGAGCTGCCAAGAGGGGCCGTGTGTCAGGGAGGGCACAGCTGGTTCTCTGCGATGGATTTCAGGCTTTTTCTTTTCTCTCTGTCTTGATAAATGGTGGGTGGCTGTTTGTGGTTGGAAGAGATGAGCAGGCCATGGGGCAGTGAGCTCGGGTTTACCTGTGAGCTGTGTGCCCTGAGGTGGAGGATCTAACGAGGCCACCCAAGCAAATGGACCCTCTGCCTGAGAGGGCTGCAGTCCCACCTGGCCCCCCCCTGGTTTTCCAGGTGTCCATTAGGACAGTTTAAAGACATAAAACCCCAGGGATGGTCTTTGCAGGTTAATTCAGCCATTTGTTGCTAGCAGAAGCCATCTGGATTGCTATTATGGGGCAGCTGGGGGTGCAGGGAGGGACAGGGACACCCCCACGGCTCCCACCTCCCCTAGATTTAATCCTCCTGGCTCTGCACGGCCAGGGCTGCATCAGAGAGGCTGTGCTGTTCGTGTCATGTTCTGTACAACTTCACATTGCCAGAGCCTCGTGCAATCTAATCAGCCCTCACAAGCCCTCCTTAATTGTATTTGCTTGTCTGAGCAGCCACTGAGTATTTAAGAAGGAGAATGCCTCCGTTTGCTCTGATTCTCCTGTTGGGAAGCAGCAGCGCCGTGTCTTTTGCTGGATCCTGGCAGAGTTTTGGGACGATGCTGCTGAGACGCTGAGCAAAGCCAAGCTGCATTTAGAGGGCCGCCAGCTCCCAAACCTGGGGCACCAATACTTGGGATCTGCCCACCAGCAAAATCCGAGCTCAAAGCAGGGCAGGGCTGTGGGGCTGCAGCACGACGAGCAGCCGGCGATTTCTTTCAGTCTTGGGGAGCGGGGGCAGAGGGAAGCCGCATGCTGATAATGTACTGAAAGTAAATGAAATTAAACAAGCGAAGCAGCACTGGCAGCTCCTGCTTTCCCCCCCTGGGTAATTCAATTCGAGCTCTCGCGCTGATGGGATCTCGCCAGGGCTGCCTCTGTCACCCCGCTGGGGCCTGGAATCTTAACGTCTAAATAAAAGTTTCACTCAAGCATTTTTTATGCTCCTGCCAGCGGGATCGGCGAGCTGGCGTTGGGCACATTAATGTAATATTCATACTCGCAGGGTCTCCCTGTGCACCCGGCAGCACCGTCCCATTTTCATAATTATAAATGTCCCATAAAATGACATTCAGATTTGCATTAGCTGAAGGGGTCGAGGCTCGGGTTGGAAAAGGAAATGTGCTTTTTCTGCCGGTCGGGAGCGTCGTGCTGCTGGATGGAAAAGGCTGGGAAGGTTTGCTCCCTGCATGGCTGCTTTTCCCCACCTCGGTGGAGGGATGCCAGCCCAGCACCTGGGGACACAGCAGGTGATATCAGGCCCTGCTGGCACCTCTGTGGGGCCCTTTGGGGTTGGTCACCAAGGTCCAACGCAGAATTTGGGGACGTGGCAAGTGCTGTTATTCTGCACTGCCACCTTAGGAACAACCTCCTGCTTCTTAATGCAGCCCTGAGAGAGAATTTAGGTCCTTTTCGACATCCGCGTTTGTTTTCCCTGTAAGAAACATAAGAGTATTTGTATGAAGGTCTGGATTTCCCTCCTGCTCTCAGCTCCCTGTCCACCTGTGTCCTGGGCAGAGGGCTGAGCCCCACACTCACTTGTAATGTGTGCCATCAATGTGAGTCCCTCGGAGAGAGGAGGGATGGAGCTTGCAGGGAGCACTGAGGTGGGCAAGCTGCCTCTTTGGAGGACCCCTATGGGCAGTGTGCTATCTACTAAGGGTGTGCACAGTTGGAAGGTCTTGGAGGGATCTGTTCCTCTCTGTGTGCACATGGGTTGCGTGGCATGGACTGGAAATGACCAGACTATGCTTTGATGCTTGCAGGAATGGAGGAAATCACAACGAGGCCTGTTGAAGACACAGGAAACATTCTGAAGCAAGGATATCTGGAGAAGAGGTCCAGAGGTGAGGCCTGAGGAGTGCATCAAGGCTGGGGGGGCTCCATTTGGGCTGGCTTTTGTTCTGTCTGATGAGGTGAAGGAAGGTGGTGAGTGAGATGGTGGGGGAGGGCTTCAGGTGGATGAGCTGCTGTGGTTCACAGCCATCCTGAAGAGCTCTGCACGCTCAGGTCATCACCAAGAATGCAAAAAATGCCAGATGAAGAACAAGCAGGAAAATATCTCTTTATTTGCAGCGGCTTCAGGAGCCACAAGCAGACATTCAGACCTTTCTTAATGTACCAGATGCAAAGGGAGAGCACAGCCCTTCTTTATTCTCCTCCGTAGATCCTCAAACTGCACAAAGATTAAAACCCAGAATCTGAATTAAGCAGAGGCTTCGTCCTCTGAGGCAAAGCGTGCCATCCTAACCAGCCATACCTAATGAGGATAAAGCCCTGCTGAAGAGAAGCTGGTTCGTAGCATCACACACGTTAACGAGCTGAGAGAAGTGAGGCAGCCTCAGGTTTATCTTGATTTTACTGACTCTTTTGAAAGACACAAATTATTTCCCCAGATTTCGGCTTGATCTGTTTGCTGCATGACAGGTGGGATGGGGTGAGAACAACCCCTTTCTTCCTTGTGCTCATAAGTTGAGCTGTATCACTGGTCCTGTGAATGCAGTAGCTTGCTCCAATTACAGAGAAACAGACTCTGAAGCTCAATTAGGAATGTTTCACCTAAAGCTGTGTTCTTTCCTGCTAAGACTGCCTTGCTCTCCTTGCTTTAGTTGAGGTTTTGCACCTAAACTCGCTTGCCTGAATTTTGTCCCAGAAACAAGCAGGATTTTGTTGGGAAAAAGAAATCTTTTTCCCCCCCATTTGTGTGAGATCCTTGTTCAGCAGAAGAACAGGAATGAATGTGTTTATTCCTGTGTTGTGTTTTTCCCTTCTAGACCACAGCTTTTTTGGGTCGGAGTGGCAGAAGAGGTGGTGTGTCCTCCACAGAAAGACCTTTTACTACTATGCCAATGAGAAAAGTAAGTGGCGAGGCACCCGCCTCCATTCCCCAAACTGTGGGCAGTGGCTGGAGGTGTGGATAAGGCTGGGAAAGGGGATATGAGAGCTTCGACCACAGGGCAGGCCAATACCTGGCAAGAAAAGAGCGCAGGCTGTGGTCCATTTCCTTCCCTGCAGCTGATGGAGTTTCAGGAATTGATTTGGCTGAAGAAACCTGGATTCAGACATTCATTCAGAGCACAGCAGTGCCTGGAAACGTCCTCCTTTGGGAAAGGGTGGCTTTGAGGGCATGTGGTCCCCAGGAGCCCCCCGGGGCACTCGATCCCAAAGGCAAATGAGGCAATTAGTGTAAAAAGGAGCAAACGTGCCCTCAATGTTCATCTCTGATAAAATCAAGATGTGGGCTGCAGTTTCCAAAAGCACTGAAGGGACCTGGATGTCATCTCAGCTTCCTCCTGCTGAACCCCCACTTTCTTTTCTTATGCATAAGACAAAGAAGAGGATGGCTGTAAGTCCCTATCAAGAAAAAACATACAGGCTCTTGTAGAAAAGTGTATCTCAGCTTGCTTTTTTATTTTCAGTCCCCCAACGTCTTTGTAGGAAGGGAGGAAGACAAGAGAAAGACAGGGACGGAGCTGCATGTAAATAAAGTGACACACCAAGCTTTCCATTAGCCATCAGCTGGGCTTCAGCCCCCTAAGTGGCTGTATATAACCCACACGTCAGTGTGTATAAATATTTTGCAGTCGTGCTCCATCAGGTACATACAAACAGACAGCTAATATCTCCAGCACAATGAGATATATGGCCTGCCTTCCTCTGTTCCACCCATCCAGCATCGTGGCCTGTTAACTGCTTGCAAAATACACACATACATCCTTGGTTTGCAATGGCCACTCTGCATCAAACTCCAGCAGCTTATGGGGATGGAGCTGAATCTTCTCTGCCTTTTTCCACCTCCTTTGAGGATGCTGGGTGCTGTTTGCAAAGGGTTGCAGATGAGCTCGAATGCAAGAGCTGACACAGCATTGTTCTGGTGGGAGATGGACAGCTGTCAGCTCCCAAACGGTCTCCAGAAGGCAACAGAGTAAAGCAAACCTCTTCCTGATGGACTGAATGTTTTTCACAGGGCTGGGCTTCATCCAAATAAAAAAGTTAAGAGCAGCTGCCCGAATCACACTCCCACACTTACTCAAGAAGATTCATAAGGAAATAATGAGCTGGCTATCCAGCTGGGGTAAATAAACGTGCCTCAAATGATGGCAGTGATGTTCTCTCTCTCCAGCCTGGCTGCTGGGGCCGTGTGTGTGCATCTACAGCATCCATAGGCCAATCCTCCCAGGCCCCACTAAGCATTTCTTCCTGCACACCGACCCACTAATTCCTTACCAGCACAAGAGTCGTTGCTATCATATTTCCCCAAGTACACAGTGGTCTCTGCTTCATTACAAGCAGCTCATCTCGTACAACCCCGTGACCCTGGCAACCTTTCAGTGGCAGCTCACAGTCTCTGGAGGCTTAAAATTGCGTCCTCTTTGCTGTGTCTTTATGAAGATTTTATAATGTTCTCTTTAGATTTCCAGGGGGGGTGGAAGGATGCTTAGATTTGCTCCCAGTGATACGTGATAGAGCTCAGTTTCCCAGCGTGGGCAACAAACATCTGCCCCACTCACGAGGGTTTGATAAAAGATATAAACTCCAGAATTCTTAATTTCTCTTCTCCCAGGCAAGCAACCTAAAGGCACCTTCTCCATTGAGCACTATAGCGCCCGGCTGGCTTTCCATCTCCGCAAAGACTCACGCAGAAGATGCTGTTTTGAATTAGTCTGCCCTGGGAAACGCACCTATGAGGTAGGAGCTGGGGGAAGAAGAGGAGCTTTGGTGTTGTTTGATCACAGCTTGGGAGCTCATGGTGCCAGACCCAAGGCACTGGGTGGACCTGCAGGGTTGGGGAGGCTGTGAACCTGCAAACGTCAGTCTCCAGTTCAACAAAACAAGAATCATAGGATGGCCTGGGTTGAAAAGGACCATGATAATAATAATAATAAGCTCTGCAGAAGGTGCTGGTGCTTCTCCATCTCATCCAGTCACCTCCACATGGACCTGCAGGTGACCCTGGGCTCTCTTTGTGCTCGAAGGGCAGAAGGGTTCAATGAGAACGCAGGGTTTGGAAAAGCTTGTTTTTAAATAAGCACTTCAGAGCCTTGCTGAATTTAAACTTCCCATCTGTTGAGCCTGGTGCAACGAAAAACGTGGTCCAATGCACAGCTCCTCCCAGAGATTCAGGGAGACTTTGTAATCTAGAGCCTCGGTTCACAGTCAGTGTTGTATATTCAATAGGGATTGTGGTTTTCATCTGAATTCTTTTAATGAATTAGGCTTGACAGCCTTCCTTTGGGATAGTCTAGCTTTGCTCTGCTTCTGCTTCCCTGTTTGGAATAGGGAGATAAAAAAGTGAAATGGCTTCCCCACAGCCCCCAGGACGGACAATGGCAGATCCAAGCACTCAGTCCCTTATTTTAGTTCCAAATCTTCCTCCTCTTCGTGCATCCAAGAAACAGCACGGTAACGGGTGAACCTCTCTCCAGTTCACAGCCCCAAGTCCAGCAGAGGCTGAAGATTGGGTGGATCAGATCCAGTTCCTCCTGAAGGGTGAGTCTGGTAGCTTGGCCCAAGCCAACCCCAATCACTGGGGCAAATCCCTGCAGCCCTTTCTAGCCAAGTCCCTGCAGGATCCTGCAGGTTTGTGTTTATCCCCAGGGCCCTGCTGGGGTCACAGCAGAGCTCAGAGGAGGATCAGGAGCCCTCCTTTCTCCACCTCTGCTGCTAAGCTGTGCAGTCAGCGAGGGGACAGAGCCCTCTCTGCAAGGTGCACGGTGAGCACCAAGTACAGCAGCACAATCTTTCTTGCTTGATTTCAGCTCACTGCAAATTCCAGCGTGCAGCTTGGCAAAGTCTGCACTTCTCCACCATCTTTGCTCTCTCCCAGCAGATCTGAGCTCCCTCACTATCCCATACGATGAGGAGGAGGAAGAGCTCTACAATGACGTGGGGAGCTCTGACTCCGTGACCACAGCATCTCACAACACTACCCTGAATCAAGATGACGGGATGGAAGAAGATGACATCTACGAGGTTTTTCCAGGTAAGCAACAAAATGATGAGGTTAAAACCCAAGCCGTGCCCTAACTTTAACCCTGCAAACATGGCAGGAGACCTTGGCCAACAAACACGTCGTGATGGGAATGAACATCTCAGGCTCTGCTGAGTTTAATAGGCCTATAACTCAAAGGAGCAGCTCGGTTTCTTTGTTCAGGCTGGCTGATGGACTACAAGAGCAAACCCCTTCTGCTCTGGCGAGATGGGGATTTTGTAAATTCAAGTGAGGCAGCTCCTACTGGGCTGTGTTACCTGGAGAATCAGAGTTAGATGATGAAAATGCTCCCTTCTGGGCATGCAGTCATGGCTGTAACATGATTACTAGGCTTCCAAGAGATGATAAAATAACTGCATTAAAGACCAGCGCTTGCTCGCTAGCAGCGCAGGAGGCCTGGAGGCAGCAGGGCTGTGGCTGCTGTGAGAGAAGCCAGGAGCAATCTCCTTGGCACAGAAACAGCCGGAGAGGGGTGACATGATCTGCAACATTTCTCACTGGTGCAGCAGAAATCACAGTGCAGCATGCCCTAGGGCTTGGTCAGGGGGTCACCTGAGCCTGATCCAAACACACGCTGCTCAGCCCCTGTGCCGAGGTTGGCGCTGCCCAACACTGTGCCCCCATCCCTCTCAGGTAAGGTTGCTCTCTGTCTGCATTCAGAGGTGCAAAATGGGTTATTTATTCTTGTTTCTTCTTGTTTTCTTTCAGGGCTTTGTATTTGTAGCGATTAAAAAAATAAATAAGCGTACCAGGAAGTATGCTGGTGCACAAGGAGGAAATCTCTGCTTGGCAAGTGGCATCCAGGCAGCTGCAGGGAGCAGAGCAGGGGCTCCTGGGCTGCCAGCACAACCCCAGGCAGCCTCAGCTCCTGTCTACCTTCATCTTTCCTTCCCAGCCTTTTCCTTCTCCACTTACATCATCAGCTCTTTGGGCTGCAGTTCTCTCTTCCTCACCTGCAGTGATTCCTGCACTCAGCAGGAGCCTCTGCTCTGCAGTTCCAGTTGCATGTGAAACCCGAAGGGGTTCAGCATCCCTTGCTGCTGTGGCAGCTGCATCCAGCTCCTCGCTGCCCTACGGCTGCCAGCAGCAGCTACAGAGCAGATATCAGATGTGAGATTTGTTCCAAATGGGGCTGATGGTGATCCTGGCATGAGCCTGCATTGTGCTGACCTGGGTACGGACCCTTCTGTTGCCCCTGCTCTGAGGTGCAGAGTGCATCAAGAGCTGCAAATTTGCCGTGGGTGTTATTTGTGCCCTTTAAATGCTCTCAAATGCCCGCCTGTATTGCAGGGCTTTGGAGACTCCAGCTTTTGGGACAAGGGGCAGAAGATCCTTGAAAGGTGCCCACATCCCATGGCCATTTCCCAACCCTCCTGCAGCCTTCCTGGGCTCCCTTCTGTTTGGCCTAAGGCATGGGGAATGCAGGGGGATTTCTGCCCCAATTCCCAGTGCTCAGCCCCTTGAGGGTGAAAGCACAGAGATGATGAGCAGGAGCAGGAATGAGGCAGTGAGGAACCAGGCACAGAATGCAAACAGTGGGTCGGAGCAATCCGCTCCCCCCAGGTACATCCCCATTGCACCTCTCACCACCCAGAAATGTGGGAGAGGGTCCCCATCCAAGCTGGGGGCTCCTCTGGGCCCGACCCCCTCCCTCGTGTCCTGAGTGCAATAGAGAGATAGAGAGAGAGGGAAAAAAAGGAAAGGGGGGAAATGAAGAGATAATTTCCTCAGCAAGTCATCGTCGTTAATGAAGTTTTACAAAAACAGATACAACCAAGGAAAAATAAAATTTCACAGGTGATAAATTTTTCCAATTTCCCTGGCAGAATTCGATAGGATTGTTAAATTAAGAGTGAAGGTGTCTGTTAGGAAGCAACGAGCAGTGATGGGTAATTTTATAGAGTGGAAAATTGAATCAAATTGCTACATTAAAACACAGCTCCTCTGAGAATGTGCCCAACGCCCAGGCTGCTCCGGCACAGCAGTGGGGCACACGGTGCAATGGCCACGCACAGGGATGGGATGGGGTCTGCTGGGGGGGGGTCCCAGACCCCAGGGTGGCTGCCCCATAGGGATGGGCTGCCCTGGTAAATGCATTCTCCAGGGATGGTGTGGCTGAGGCTGTGGTGCTCTGCACAAGGAGGTGGGATAGTGAGAAGCGATGCAGACCCCAGGAGATGCATTTTTCAGCCATTCCCTCTGATTTGCCTTGATAAAATCGAGATATTGACCAAAATCAAACATCCAGGTTCTGAAAAGGAAGCAGTTTTACCTTTTGCGGATGTGATTCAGACGAGCACCTGGTTGCACGAGGCTGAAGGGCTGCCACATGCAGGGGAACTTGTTGCATCCCCACAGCCACCTTCGCTGCATGCACAGAGCAAAATCTGCACGGATGGTGGCTGGAGCACAGACACAGATCTGTGCAGATGCAGCTCAGCAGCATGCCAGGCTCTGCGTCTTCACCAGGGCCATCCATCCTCACCATGTTTTGCTGAGATATCCCAGGCAAATCTCCTTCCTTCCCCCCTCCAAGCCTCCATCCATCACTGCCTTGCAGCCCACCAGCACAGGGCAGCAGCTGTGGGGCTGAGCATAGCCTGGGGGCTTCCTCTGAGCACCTTTTGCAGATGGCACAGAGTAGTAATCACCGTGGCAAGGTGGAAAGAAGGGGAAACTGAGGCACAGAGGTCTGAATGCATCACCGACTCCTCTGAGCTGCAGAGCTCTCAGCCACCAGGAGGGTGATGCAAGCAGCGAGGACTGTGTGGCTTCATTTCTGCTTGAGACTTGTCCCATCCCATCAAATATGGGGAAAAAAAAACCTGTGCAGGACACGGTGCCACCGCCGCAGTGTTGGCAGACTTTGTATGGTGTTGCTCATGGAAATGCAGAGGTATTTCCACCACGCTTTGCCTTTTCCTGCTGCCAGCTTCCCAAGGAGAGTTGTGTGTGTGTGTGGGGTGGATGCACAGAGGGCTCTGGGGAAGGGGTTTCCTGAGGACAGCTCAGCTCCAGGGCTGAGGAAGCATTTGCAGAGATGGGATGGAAGGTGGGGGACACCCAGCAGAGCTGCGATGTCAGCTCCCCAAAACATGGTCCCATCCCATGGGGGTGCAGCAGCAGCACCCACGCTGGGGGCACGATTTGGGGCTTTCATGGCACAGGGCTCAGTGGGGCTGACTCCATGCCAGGAGTGGATCAGGGGGCTGCTGGTTAAAGCCTAAAGGAATCCAGATGTGAGGGTTGGGGAGCGTGCATGGGAAAGGTGGAGGCAGAGCGGCGGTGCGGATGCATTTACATCCTCCTTTACAAATGCAAAGAGCAGGCCAAAGCCACTTTCAATAATTTATTTAAAAATCAATGCTAACGAGGTTCTGTCTCGTCAGTGGCCGAGTTTTACAATAAAGTCTGATTTATTTAGAAAAGATCTTCGGTGCCGCTTCCCATCTAATGGGGGAGCAGCGGCGGTGACCCTCCAACATGGGATCCAATTTGTGACTCACAGCGGAGCTCTGACCCGGTTTGCATTGATCAGAGCTGCGTGGGGGGAGACAGAGGGGCCACATCCCCAACCAGGTGCCACGGGGAAGCGCTGCTTCTGAGCCACGTGGGATCAGCAGAGTGCCCAGTGCTGGCTCGCTTATGTCTTATTTAAACCTATTTGCACATGGACCCGTGTTTCTGACAGTCGCCATTCCCCAGAGCATCCCAACAGCCCCCCAGCTCACACTTAACCTTTCCAGCAGTATCACTTCTCGTTACTCTTTTATTTTCTGCCCCCCTTTCCCCATCCTGCACAGCTGTGCCGGTGGCTGCCTGGGTTCCTTTTTCTCCTCTCCGATTTCTGCTTCTGTTCACCATCCTCCCATGTGTTTCTGCCCTGGCATTTCTCCTCTCTGTCTCGTTTTCCCCAGGCTGCAAGCGCTGAACAGGAAAGCGTCTCTTCCTATCGGGCACTTGGCAAAGTGCTGCTTAAATTTATGAGGCTATAATAAGTGATTTGTTTTTACCAGTGTTAACAACAATTCATATTTGGATGCAACACGTTTTAAAATATTATCCGCGACTTCCTCCCTCCCACTCTCCACAATTAAGCCAGGAATTTATTATTCTGACAGTCGGATGCTCTCCACAGCCCAAGCCTGCGGGTTTGGTGCAGTGCTAGCAATGGCCTGGCACTGTTCTGTTGCACTCACAGCTCTCCCTGTGGCTTCTCTGCTCTGTTTTCCCCTTCCAGAGAAGGACCCCAATGTTCCTGAGGACAGCGAGGACGACGGCAGCGGGCAGCACCGCGGTAAGAGCCCAGCCCACGTTGGCCAGCTCTATGGATGTCCCAATGGAGGCAACCAGGGGATGTGGAGGTGCGGGTGCTGGTGGAGGAGCACACATCGAGAGGAGGTGGGGCAGACATGACAGGAGATGAGGAAGGACGTGAGTCAGGGCTCAGAGGAAGCCGGCTGTGGGCACGGGAAGCCGGCCGGACGCTCAGCACCGCTTGCCGGAACCAACACCGCCCAGAGCAGGCAGCCCCAAGAGCCTCTCAGAGCTTCACAGGTTCCACCCCCCTGCTTTTTCCTTAGGGATCTGCACCATGGGATGGGAGCGGAAGGTCTGTTTCCTCCCCGGTCCCACCTGCTTCACTTTCCATCACCGCTTCCATCCTGGCACAGGAAAGCAGTGCTTGTGGGTTGGGCTGGGACCTTCCTGCCTTGCATACTGCTGGCCCAGCCCGGCGGGGGCCCCGAGGGGACACGCATAGCCTGGAGATGCTCAGCCAGGGGCTGGCAAGTCCACTGGCACTCAGAGCATGGAGCCGTTGGGTGGCAGGGAGCAGAGGGGCTCATTGGACAGCAGGTGCCTGGGTTGGCTTCACACGTGGTGGGGCATTCTTGGAAGCACACACATGGGGGTGCAGACACCCCGAGCACCGCTGGGTTACTCCCCCAGAGGGGCTCTCAGCTGTCCTGCAGCCCCGTGCCCAGCTTCCCAGTGTTCCCATCTCAATGCAGGGTTGAGTCCTTGCTGTCTGCAGACAACGAAGCAAACCAGCGAGCCCTGTGCCCTCACACTGCTTGTTTCCCACCTACCCCCACCCCCAGCACGATGACTTATTCAGCCACTGGAGCATGTGGCCATGACAGCAGCGCCCAGAGCTTGGAAAAACGACCTCCTCATCTTTATAAACTGCACCACCATCGTCACACCTGCATCCCTGGGGACTCCTGGGCACGGGCTGAGGAAAGCAGAAGGAGCTGGGACATGCACTGCAAGCACGCATTTGTCTTCACCTTCCACAGCACTCCCAGCATCTCAGAGAGGAGCTGCCTCGGTTCCCTTGCAGGAGCAGAGTGCTGGAGGGTTGGGGGTGACCCAAGGGCACCCTGATGGTGCTGGCTCCACCTATCCCAGCTTTGCACACTTTTTAATGCCCTGCTTGTATTCGTTAGCATCCTCCTGACATCTGTGATTTTTGTTAAGCGTCATGGCCGATTTCATTATTAGTGTGGTCATGATTGCTTTGGGTCCTGTGTCTGTTTCTATGCTAAATAACACGTGAGGCTCCTGCCTCTCAAATGCTGGGCTCCATTTCAAGAGCAAAAAGTTCTCACAGCTCCAGGAGTCCCAGCCCCTGTGCCTTCAGCCTGGGATGTTTGTGCTGTGATCCAACTGGACGAAGGGTGAGGGGATGACAGCAGCCCTTGAGCACAGAACTGGGTTGGCAGCATACAGCCAAAGTGCCCGATGAGCATTTGGAGAATGGAAAACTATTGTTTCTCATTTCTAAGAACAGCAAAGATGCCACAAAACCAAACCAGCCCAGCAAATCCAACCAGGAGCTGCGGGTTGCTCCAGCCAAGATGCCTGTTTGCACAGCTCAGGCTGCTCGGTCCCTTCCTGCCTTCTATGCCTGACGAGCTGCTGCTGCCACGCAGCCTGACCCATCAAATACAGAGAGCAGAACTCCTATCCTCAGAAAAACAGAAGAGCCCCGAAGCTTGTCTCCTGCAATGAGCATGGCAGGAGGTTTCACCTAGCAGAGAAAGCCACCGAGCTGCAGACAGTTGTCATCAGGCTTCAGCATCAACAGGCTGCCAAAGCCACGAGCCCAAAGCAGAGGGGTTGGGGCAGGAGCTTCTCCCCCAGCCCTGCTTGGGGCTCCTCGGGCTGCGGAAGGCAGTGACGCAGTTGTCACATTTGGCTGATTTCCTTCGTGACCCCGAGGCCCATAAACGTGGGAGGAGGCACTCGCCCCACTTACATCAGTGTAAATCAGTCACACTCACGTCGTGTCTCTGCCCTGAACGCAGGTTCAGATCTGCAGGCAGGGCACCTGGGACAGCTGCTGTCCCATTGGGGGGGACAGAGTGACATCTTCCCTTTCCTGGCCTTATGTCCGAGTGCTGACAGGGATCGGGACCCCCCTCACTGCACACCACCTTAATTTGAACACGATATTCTCAGCAGCTCGCACAAACATCTCGCTTTTGAAACTGTGGCTCAACGCAGAGCCGCGCTGCGCTCCCATCACCAGGCATTTTCATGCAATGCAATTAATGCTGACCTTTGGAAGGAGGTGCTGGAGCGAAGGCTGAGACCTTTTCCTGGACCAGTGGACATCACTGGAGTAAATAAGCAGTCCTGCTTCACACGGGGAGCACAGGGCCGCTCACAGCAGCACCATCCTGCATGATGTTCTCTGCATCACGGTGCTGCAGTGACCTTTGGTGGCACTTACACCATTTTCTGCCTGCTGCAGAGCTGCTGCCTGCTTCGTCCTGCTCAGTGCCCCAGGACTTCCTCTGCCTCCAGTTCATAACCTCTGCTTCCTGCACTTTGCACAAGCTTAAATAACTCAGTAGCTCCTTCTCCTTCTATTCCCTTCACAATCTTTTCCTCACCACTGCGTGCTCCCCCTTTAATACTTTCCAAAGGATGCAGACCTACTTTTTTTTTTTCCTTCTTTTTTTTTTTTTTTCCCAGCCTTTCTATTTAAGTTCCCCAAGTCCCTGAGTCATTCCAGTCGCTCCCTGCTGCACCATTATCCATCTCTGTAATGTCCTTTTTCATATTTAGGTGATCAAATCCGGGCACAGCACTCCAGATGCACCCTTATCACTCGGTCCCTTATACCATATTAGAAACATTTCCTCCAACATGTGCTCGATATTTTCTATTTATGCTTTCTGGGCTCAGTTCAGGCAGAGCAGCACAGTGCATTGGTGCAACGCCGGTGCTCAAATCCCCCCCCTGCACAGTGTGGTTTTATTGGGTTTAATTATTCACAGGGGCCTCATCACGGAGGTGCCCGTGTTGTGACATCTGGATTTCCCCCCCATCCTCCACCCCCACATCGGTGCTGCACCACCAGGACATGTCCTGCATGTCTGAATGGTCATTTTGTGTGCTTGGAAACCAGGAATGTGATTTTGGGGTGTGTTTATGATGCTGCCGTGGATCTGTTGGATGTGTTGGGATGAATCCCTTCCCCAGCCTGCAAAGTAGGGCAGCATCTCCAGGTACGTGGTGTTGGCTGGTCTGGTCCCATTGCACAGTGAGATGCTCTCTGCCCCTTTCCCGGGACCCACTTTTCACATTGGCTGTGGTCTCTGGGCCTGCATTGGATGGGAAATGCCATTCTGAAATGTCAAAGATGGAAATGTTTCCTTCTGGAAATGCTGCTGCTCCATTTTCCATCCGACCCACACGGACATTTATCCAAGGGCAGTCCCCAGCCTTGGCATGCAGTTTGCTGACAGTTTCACCAACACAAACCCATGACTCCCAGCACAGAAATCATTTTGCCTCCCTCTAGAAAGGAGAAAACAAGACTTTGCTGGTTCATAATGTCCCTTCCAGCCTGCGGTCCACAGCCGATGGAAAAGACTGAGGCCACTGTGCAAAATGGCACCAACACCTCCTTGTCTTCCCCCCACATACTGACTGATTGCAGCTCCTACCCTCAGACCCCCACACCCTGACCCCAATATTTCCCCAGTTACCCCCCACCCCCCTGACCTTTCCTTTGCTCTGCAGGAAGGGATTTTGCCAATTACTACCAAGGCGTGTGGGACTGCAGCGGTGAGCACCCCAACGAGCTCTCCTTCCACCGCGGGGACCTCATCTACATCCTGAGCAAGGTAGGGCCCTGCAGCCCAACGGAGAGCTTGGGGGAGGGCAGAGAAAATCAAAGCACGGGGATACGTCCTAATTAACAGAGCAGGCAGTGGAATTTTGGGGTCTAGCTCCCACATGCACATAGCAGTGGGTCCCCAACCCTGTGAGTTCCCCCCTCCCCGCAGCCAATTCGTGTCCCCGCCGTCACCCCTTCTTGCCTGCGGCCCTCACCGCCTCCTATGTTCACGTGTGGCATCAGAAATGCCCCAAAGCAAGATTTTCTTCACGGTAATGGAGCCTGTGCGTGCTGTTGCTCGGGTATTACAGGGGTAATTGAGTTGCTCAGCCGGGTGTGAGCACAGCTCTCTCCAGCAGACACGCGCAGGTGAATACATCAAGTGGTTGCAAGAGCAGGGCAGGGAGCTGTGCTGTGCTGTGACCCTTCCAGCCCCGTGTATCCCTGCAGGGCTCCCAGCTGCTCCCAACCGGACTGCAGTGGCCCTGGCTGGGGTGGCTGCATTGTGTGAGTGGCACTGAACCGAAGGGAGGGGGGGGGTTCACTCACCCACCCCCCTGCACCCACATGGTTGATGTTGGACCCGTGGTTCTGAAGCCCTGCTCAGCCCCACGAATGCAGCTGCATCTTTGGCAGCGGCAGAGCACGGCTTTTATTCTTGCCTTTTTCTGGAAGGCTGAGAATTTCCCATCTGTGGATCTCAAAGCGCTTTTTACGGCTGCATTTACTGCCTCTGCCCCCCCTGCTGCTTTACAGCAGCAAGATGAGCCTGCCATGCTCCAGGCCTGAACCCACAGCCCGGGCTCATCCCTCCATCTCTGGGCTTACAGCAGCAGCAGCAGCTGGCCGACGTCCCACATCCCCACGCAGTGCCCGGATTGGGGCACAGTGCTGCCCTGCCAGCGCAGGGACACAGCTTGGAGGCTCAGCGGGGTTCTCTCTCTCTTCAGTGCCTCCAGATTGCGACTCTTGTGCTGGCTTCCTCACACGTAACCGATGGGTCCTGAGAGCTTTCCCCCCGTAAATTACTTTGTGCGACGGATGCTCGCGGCCGCGGCAGAACCGAAGGTATGGGGGGGGGGGGGAATGCAGGGAGAGGCGAGCGGGGGGTAAAGGTGTTTGAAAAGCCTGTTCACTCAGCTGCATTTTAATTTCCTTTTCAATCTTGTCCCAATTAATTTCGCAGAATTAATCTCACAGAAGCAAACTCGGCAGCGTCGAGGCTGCAGTTTTGAGCGGTGCGGTCGCTCTGTCTGAACATGAAATAGTAGCTAATATAAAAATCCATCTGGTGTGTTTGAAACACATGCCGGCTGCTGCTCGGGTCCTGTCTGACATTTCCAGCAGCAACAGCGGGGAAAAGTGATTTGGGGGTTAGTGGACATCAGTAGCTGGCAGGGATTCAGCAGCAGGGCGTGGGGTGGGCAGGGGGGGCTGCAGCATGCTGGGCAGGGATGGGTTTGTCCCCAGGACAATTGCTTGGAGCCATCCCTCACCTGGGCACCTGGGTGAGCGCGTGGTTCAGGGTGTGCAGGGCTTATGGCTGCAGGGTCTCTCCTTGCCGTGTGTCCCGGGTCGCTGTGCAGAGCCATGCAATGCAGGCAGCACGGTCCCATGGGTGCAGGACACCGGGCTGTTGGGTGCTATGGACACAGGAGCATCCCTCAGGTGCTGGCTCCCTCACTACAGCTGGCACCCGAGGGATGCAGGTCCCCTCTCTATTCACCCCCCTGGTGCCACCAGGTTTGTTAAAGCATTGGGGATGGATGCAGAGCCCGTCACCCCATCGCATAGAGACCCCAAAATGCTGCCACCCACCCGGTGTGTGTGTG